AGTTATAACAAGTTGGATTGCACCTCAATCACATGATATTGAAAGATTTTCAGAACAAGAGGAAAGTCTCATGTTAAAGTAAACATAGTCATGAGCATATACTGACAGTCTTTCCCTTGCATTCTGTGTTTTTTTCCTGCTTTCTGTTCTCTGGCCATGGGCTATAGAAGAGAACTATCTGACTCTTCACTGCATAGTGTGAGAAGTTTCTATTTTCACATTCCCAGGTACAAATCTTAACCCTGCAAAAGCTATGCTGGACCTTTATCAGATGGAAATACGACTTTCTGTTGGCAGAGATACACAAGTAAGCTTCTTGCAGTCTAACTACAACATTTTTCAGTGGAAACTTTCATCTGCCTCTAATTTGAAGACTGAGAAGTACAAATCATGTGCAATACATCTAGGGAAGAGGAATTCAATCACTTGTCATCAGTTGATAAAGCCACAGACAAAGATGTTTACTCCTGGTTTGTTTTATTTGGTTTCTGGTTTATTTTTTTAGTATGAAGGTAACCACTTTTGTAACAATAACATATGCTAAATAAAGCATAATGCTGCTTAGCTGCACAGTTTTCTCTAATAAAGGCATTTATTTTCCTGAATTTTTATTTCCTCTTCTCCTAAGCACTGACATTCCCATATATGGATGAGCTTATATATAAAAAAAAAAGAAAAAAACAAAAGAAAAAAACTTGGTTTGTACCCTTCTAGCTTCTATATAAAGCTGGATTTTTTAAAAACTTTGGAACTAAGTTACTCATCTTGGCAACATGATGATACAACAAGATATTAAGACAGTCAAGTGTGATCATGATACATGTTACAGTTTGTTCTCAGAAGGAAACATGAGAAGGGGTAACACTCAGCTGATAAAATTCTCATTATTAGTAGAATTTCATAAATGCTTTTTTTCAGACATTTGATGATTATCAAAACAACATATTTCAGATAGAACAGATAGCTTTTTCATCTCCCTTATACTTGGGATTGTATTATCACAATCTGTCCAGTTCCTCCTATGTAGTGAAATGCACCTCCAAATAATCTGCAAAAGGATGCATGCTATTTATGCCATATGTGAGCTATATTAAAAATATGTTGAAGCAGATGAGAGAAACTATAAATGGGATATGTTACATTTCATAAAAATCGTTTGGATACTGCCATGAACAAAGACAATCCTCACACCATAAGTTCCTTCAGATGGGAAAAAAAATTAAAATTTTTATATATGACGTCTAAGCATGTGAGGCATATGTCTGTATACTTGGCTTTTCAAAAACCAAAAGACACTAATGTCACACCCAGCCTTTCCAAACCTCAGGCTGTAGAAACCCTTCTGGGTTCACAAGGACTGACAGCAATTCTAGCAGTCAACACTGCCCTCCAGTGCGGGCTGTTCAACTTCATTCTGCAACGGCTTCCTTCCTCAGGGTTAATAAATACATTCGGAGTGCATTGTGTTTATTGACTCTTACTCTCCTTCCTTCTATGAACTACAGCAAAAATATAAAGGGATGTGTAAATATAGGAAAATTTGGTTTATAATTTATATTTTCTTTATGTTGCATTTAGTATTTTTTTTTTTTTTTAAGTTGTACAGGCCCAGTGGATCAGCTTCACAAATTATGTGCAACATGGTATGGATTTTCTTTCTGCAATTATATTTATATATATTTTATCTATATGCAAATTTGATAGTACTTGCAGAAATCTATCAAAAAGGTGTCAGAACATACTCATTTAAGCACATATTTGTCTGCCTAATGAATGCCATGAGCTTGTGCATGAGAAGAGCAGGTGTATTTGCATATAAACACCTACTTCAATATTCACTGACATCACAGGAGTCTCTTCAGTGGACTTGGTGAGAGATGAAGCACTTCATACTTTCACATACTGAGCACTCAACTGACAATCTAACACATATCACACTAAATACATTCAGAAAGTGCCAAACTCCACAGAAGCAGTTCTGCTGAAATCAGGAGTCTTCAGAAGGCAGTGTTATGAGCCTGTGAGCATCTGCTCTACCTGCCATCTCTAAACTGTCCTACCACACCAGCATCCCTGTGCAGTCAGGCTAAGGACCACCACACAACCAAGCTAGTTAGTGTTATCCCAACTGGTCAAGCAAAAAAACCTGTGAGGTTAGCAACAGACAGAAACATTTTGCAAGAAGCTTGGCAGGTCTTTAAAAGACAGTAAAGAGAATCAAAACGTTGTTACACTACCATCCCAGCAGATTTCTGATAGTCCTTAGAATATAAAAACAGAAAAATGGTAAAACTCTTTCAAATAAATAGCCCCCTCCACCAGCCTCAAAGCATGAGGAGCTGTTAATTTCCACATATACAATTCATCTCATAGTCAACACACCACATGTTTATATACAAACATCTCAATCTTATTTAGAAATAACTGGGATCATTAGAGGCGTAGCTGATTTTAATTTATTCCTGAATTATCTTTTTTCTATCATTCATCTAGAACATACCACCGAATTTCAATACTGAATTGCACTAAAAGATAGCATTAATGCAACATTAAGTTAGTATGCTCAAGCACTCCCAATAAGTTGCAGAAAGCTTAATTTAGTCACATAGTCTCTGTATTTTATTTTAACATATTCAACAACTACTGGAGTTTGCATTTCATAAGGAGAAGAAGGAATTCCTAAGTAGTTTTGCTGCTAGCAATTGACAGAAAGTTTCCATATATTTGAGATTCATTATCATTTAAGATCATCTATGTGTGTCTGCAATATTTCATTATTTCTACCACTGGAGAAAACGTTGTAGAGAATAATTTCTGTAGTCCAAAATACATACAGCTCTGTGCATGAACCTGTACATCAGACATTAAGGAAACAGAGATGGTCAAAACCATCTGCCTCAGGGACTGCTTTTTGCAGATTTTATGCAAACACTTCACTACACTTCTGTGTGAACACTGTGCTACATTCCTGTGTCACACAGGATGTTCTTTTAATATAAAGAAGCATGTATTTTCCCAAATTAAGACACTTCCCAGAATTATCCAAGGAAATGGTAGTGTGAAGAAAAAAAGGTTAGCACTGAGAGCAGTGTGGTCCAAATACAAACTATACTATAGTAAATCCAGTATAAAATTAAATTGTAGCTTGCTAAAAATTATTGTTAGTTTTCCTAAGAGAACCAGTTACACTACGTATGTTAGAGAACTGTAAGTATTATAGAAATGCAGTGTTTTGCTGGTCTAGGAGGAATAAGAAATATGGGTTTGACCTGCAGGTGTGGAGCTCAAAATTCATAGAGACTGGGGGAGAGGGAGGGGAAGGGCAAGGCCCAAGGTGCTAATGACAAATTCCTAAATAGTGCAAGGGAGTCAAGGTGCTGTAATTCTCTACCAAAACATACCATAGAGAAGAATGCTGGAAAGCACAATCAAGAAGAAAAGTAGGTAGGCTGTGATTTCATCTCCAGTTATCATGAGAAAAGTGAATTATCCCCTTGTTTCCAACCAGCTGTTTTGTGATGCCAGTGTTGGTAGCTGTACTCGGCCACCAGGCTGTGAAGTAGCCATGTCCTCAAACACCTGCCTTTGCTACATTGCATGGGGCAAACCCCTCAGCTCTGGTGCACACCGTTACACCGAGTTCCCTGGTTTGGTTTGTATTTCATCTGATCTTTGAGTAAATACATTCTGATGGGATTGCAGCTCGGCTTTGCTTCTCCTCAAGCCCCTGCTAGCACTAGCAGTTGTTCCCAGTCATCCTATTGCCAGTGACACGGGAGGTTTCGTGCCAGGCAGTTGCAACTGCTGATGCCAGGGGTCAGCTCCACAGCCTCCTGCCTTTGTTACCAGCTATCACAGCTGGCTGGTATCAATTTATTCTACTCTTTCAGTTTACAATCATCCTGAGACTTTCTTCCACAGTTTGCTTCCCCCTGTGACCCTACTAAACTTTATTTGAAATAATTTATCTTGCTAAACCCTGAGGTAGTTTGGCTGTGCCCCTGGGCATCGATTCAGCTTCTGTGTCCTTTCAACAACCTTGTGTATGTATACGCTGTTGTCAGATGCCATCAAGCGGTAGAAAACGTTTCACAGTTTTCTATTCTGCACTGACTCGGCCCCAGTATCAACCCCTGGGGTACCCCACTACTGACCTGCCTCCAGCTGGACTTCATGCTGCTGATCACAGCCCTCTGAGGCTGTCAGCTCAGCCCATTTTCAAACCACCTCACATTCCACTTATTCAGTCTGGACTTCATCAGCTCATCCATGAGGGTGTTACAGGAGACAGTGTCCACAGCTTCGCTCAAGTCGAGGTAAACAACATCCACTGCTCTCATCTTCACCGCCAAGCCAGTGATCCCATTGGAGAAGGCCATCTGGTTGGTGAAGGATGACTTCTTCATAAATCCTTGCTGACTACCCCTGATAACCATCTTGTCCTTCTTATGTTTGGAAACTACTTTCAGGATCCCCTCCCCAGGAATCAAGGTGAGGCTAACTAACCTGTAGTTCCTCAGAACCTCCTTCTTGCCCATCTTGAAGGCAGGGGTGACATTTCCTTCTTCCAGTCTGCAGAAATCTCACCCAATCACCATGACCACTCAAAGATTATTGAGAACTGTCTTCTAGTCACTCTTCACACAACATTAGGAGTGTCCCTGTCCTGGATTTATTAGTTGTGGGCTCCTCATTCCTCATTTTTAAGGAGGCTATAATAGCAGTGCAGAAAGCAATCCCCATTTTTAATTTTTCACAGATAAATCTTGTCACTGGAGCACCAATGGAATAAATATTAATTTACAGATTACTAGTCCCAAGGTGCTAATGACTAGTCACTAAAGAGCCTAAGACAATCAGACTTATATCACTGCATCTGGTGGAGGCAAAAGCTGAATGTCTACTTCATCAATGACCATGACCCAAAAACATTTTGCCATTGTTTTGCAAGCTCCCCAAGAAAAAGACCTGAAGCAAAAAATGTTGGTTTTGTACTTAACCAATCTCCAGAGGCATTTCTTGACTTGAAATCTGAGACGAATTCTCTGATCATTATCTTCCAACACAAGCTCATTGCTCCAAGTCATTCCAGTGGATAGCTAAAACCTCCAGAAAAACGGAAATTCAAATACATTCAGGAGTGATGATAAAAGTACCTCATTGAACAGTGCTGTAAGAATTTTAGTGAATCTGGAGTTATGCTGTGGTATAGTTCTGTATCTCTTACACAAATGAGTTCCCTTAGTAAAATATAAAGCGTTAATTCATAAGCCTTCTGCCCCTCCATTTTTCCTCAGGAAATTCTAAATCTCCAAGACAATAAATCACTTTGCTCTTCAGTTGTTTTAAGTAAAAATGCTGAAGTCCTATTATGCTATTATAGGACTCAAGCTACATAGAAAGAAGTGGGAGAGCTTTATTCCCTGCAACAAGCCAGCAGTGAGCCTGTGGGGAGGTAGTTTATGGCAAAAGTAGGAGAAACACTGTACTGCAGACCCAGTCAGAGAGCCCTGAAGTAGGCTGTTCTTCCCTTTGAAATATTTTTTTCTTTCCTCCCACTTTAGTCTATCTTTGCATAATCTCTTTTATTTTGTTCAAGTGAAGCAGCAAGAAATTCCCCCTCCTCTCTTTTTTTTTTTTTTTTTTTTTTAAATTGAGAAGAACTGCTGGTACTCAGCCTCTGGTGGGAAAAAGGACAGACTGAGGCACAGTCCTGGCTCACTTCTCCCACATTATTCACTCCGATGGTGTTAGAAGCCAATGTGCACTAATTGCTGTGATCTCTCCATTTGGCTTTTAACTTAAATAAGCCATCTGTAGGAGAATCTCAGCCGCTTTCAGCAGCCAGAAGCACTTGAAAACAGCAGCCCCCTAACATTGTTTAATTTTTACAACTTTGAGGTCACGAAAGAGACCACTAACTGTTTCAATGAAACTCCATCGGATGGGCTTGGCTGGATGATTTGTTTCTGCTTTAGGATTTAATTTGAACAATATGGACTTTTCTCCATTAGCATAAAATAAATCAGCACTTTGCACTAGTTTCCCACGCATCACTTTCAACAGGCTGCCAACATTAGGATCATGTGGATAGTTGACAAGCACTCTAGCTACTTACATCTATTAGAGTCCATTGGTCACATCAGCTCTGGGTTTTGATCGTTCTTTAAGCTGTATATCACTATCACTTCCCACAGTCACCAGGTTTAATACACACAGGCCTTGTAATTCAGCCACAGAGCATATTTAGACAGTCATAAATTCAAATCAGGTAGCAGGGGTTTAAATAACATAAGACATTTTCCCTCAGTAAGGCAGTTATTTGAAATATACCATAGCTATACTTTCAGGATTTCAAGGAGATCAAGTATCAGAATTCATGTTTTCCTTCCCCAGCTTTCCATATTCACGTTAGCACATAAAATGCTGCCTTATATATAAATTATTTTGTTCCATAAATCTGAGATAAGTTTGAGATTTACTGAACTGGAGTCCAGTTATGGCAGTTCATCTTCAAATTAAGGTGGAATGAAACAAATAATCCAAATGCATAAAACGAAGCCCCTGAGCTAGCTGGAAATAACAGGATATTTTTCCATTACTTTCAGGTTTCTTCTTCCACCCACACCACCCCTGCCTTACTGGACTGGGCCAGAGGGGACACAACAAGGAAACAAGAAAACACAGTGGATTTATGCAAAAAGCAAAAAACTAGCGTGCTCTACATGCCCCTACCCCTTATGAGCTGTACCATCCCATATCCTTACTGGACATGAGGCACACGAGGCCGCACGCAAGCTCAGTTTGCAGGCAGGAGGTCAACACTTCACAGTTTGGTTTTACACAGAGGTGGCCTCAGCCCCAGCGCCAGCATGGCGAGATGCAACATGGCCACTGCCCCAGCATGCTCGTCCAAAGCTGCCCCCACACCCTCTCCTGGCAGCCCTCGAGGTTCCACGGTGCCCCCAGCCCTTCCCCACAACCATACATACCCTGCCATGAGCTTTCTGCATTTGGCCACACTGCTTACCCTCAGGAGGACGAGCAGCATCAAAAGTCTGTCTTCCCACAAAATGGCGGGCCCTCTGCCTCCCACCAAGGCTGCCTACCTCGCCCAGCCCAGCCCAGCCCAGCCCATTCCTGGGGAGCTTTTCACCATTTTTCTACCCAGAAGAATAAGAGCAATAACTCACCTTATGCTATGGCACGGAGCAGCAAGCTCTTTAAGAAGCCAGCTGGCTTTTTTTTTTGAGGCAGGGTGCCATGCCCCACAGCTGGACCAATCAAGCTGATTACCAAGAGGGCTGGTTCCTCACAGGGGTCAGCAGCAGGCTCTGTAAAGGGTTTTAAATTGCCATCAGGGAAAGCCCAAATAAAACAACACATTTCTTATCTACAGTAATCAATATGGTGCCATGTAAAATGCTGTAGTTTTCCATCTCAATGAGTTGTTCACAATTTAAAAAACCAACCAACCAACCAACCAAAAATCACACACAAAAATTAAAAGTGATTCCAAACATTTTCATTATGCCTATACCTATTACATTTCTGACCCACACCTGATGCTGAGAAGGGGTCAGCATTGCCAGAGGAGACCTGTCAGCCAGGACACTGCCAGGAGCAGCATATTTTCTGGGGAGAGAGCAGTAATGCAGCCACAGGTGTTTCAGCCACCAGATGTAGAGGTGATACCCTCAACGGAGCAAAACCAGCCTTTTGTACTTGCTTTTACAACACAGAGCAACCCTACTGGGGATCTCCATGACTGCTTTCTGTAAGATGCACATTCAGTGATTATTGCTGAATACAAGACGGGGCAGGGGGGAGCCCTGGCAGTTTGGGGAGCTCACGTCAGAGAAGCTGCCAAAAGCCCTGTCTGAGCTGCCTCTGCAAAGAGGGGCGAGCACAGGAATTACCATATCTGTACAGGTCGTCTCAAGCAGCCTGTGCTTTCTCCCCAGGCCTGGCTGCATTGGGTAGGACCCCTCTAGCAGTCACACAGCCTGCTTTTAAATACCTGAGCCCCCCAGAATCGGCCGCCCTGTCCTGCACCGAGGGAGGCAATGCAGAAAGCGGGTTCATGCCGAAGCAGCATGATGGGATCCGCAAGCACCCCTGCGGTCAGCCTCGCACTTGCTGCTCAATACATTTCTTCATGGGCAAAACAAAGCTAAGGTAAGCACACACAGTTTTGAGTTGTGTAACCATGAGTTCTGCACACCAAGAAATCACTTAACCATATTTTCTGGATTTGTTGAGGAAGCAGGTATGTCCTAAATTATTGATGTGCTTAGACACATGATACAAAGGTCTGCAAAAAAAAAAAGAAAGATAAAACTAACCATAAAACTAATCAGAAACTGAACTAGGGCATAGGCAAGAAAAGCATGGGATTCCTGGCTCTGGGTCCAGCAGACAGCATTGGCGATCTTCTGGGTGTGTCTGTTGTGACGAGAGTTTCTACAAACAGTTTTGTAAACTACAGCAGAGGTCCAAAATATTTACAAAACATTCAGAAACGCAGACTGTCATTCAGCTTTCTGCACCAAGTGAAAATATGGATCCTATCCATGTTAAGGGGCTTTATCTATACCTAGACATTTCTACAATCATCTTTTCAGATCCAGTTATCTCTGGTCCAAACTATCTGTAATGCTTCTTGTCTACACCAGTCTGTATATGGTATATGTAAACGTACATACCAGTTTTAGTTACGAAAGGAAGATGGACTTGCTGAAGAAATATGTTGACTATGTATCTAAATACTACAATAAAACAAACTGCAGATGCTTCTCTGAAAACCATGACAGATTAAATATGCATTTTTTCTAAATACTTCATGTTTCAATTGGCAGCTATAAGCCAAATTACTCTGCCTAACCCCAAAACAACACTTACACAGACACATCAAAAGTTCATGCAGAATTGTTTTTCGAAAATGTGGGGATTTTTTCTTAAGACTTCACATGGATAGACTAAACATTTCTAGATTTTTTTTAAATATATAAAAATCAGATGCTGTCCACCTGCTAATCACCCAGGTCAGATAGAAAAAAAAAAACAACAAATTTTTCCATGTTCATGTCTGAATGTTTATGTATAAAAACTTCATCTTGTACAACTGTTAGAGCAGTCTGGATTGAACAAAATATTGAACTAAAGAAGTAGCTTCAGATTTTGTGTTAACAAATGATCATTTTCCCTGTATTTCTAGACAATTCCAGCACAGCTGCAACCAGCCTCCTTGGATGCAAAGTCTTCCCTTTTCTCATATGCCCAAGATTCCGGTGCTGTAACAGCTCAAAGATTTTTTTTTTTACCTTGATAAGAGCGCAATAAGTCATCAGAATGTGCATCCCTTTGTATTTGCAGAGTAGGTTACAGATGTTAAAAAAAGGGTAACTTTTTGTTTTTATGGGAGGAAATAAGAAAGACTGGTGCCATAGACAGGGATTTCATTAAAATGAAGAAATCCTAGTTCTCCAAAGGAAAAAAAAAACAAGGTTTGCTTTAAGATATTTCATGAAACATTTTGTGTGGTCTTTATCATTTCAGTCTCTTAATGAGTGATATCTGCAAATTTACATGATTGTCTGACCTGGCCTTGAAATTTGAGTTAATCTTCAGCCTATTTAAGCCCTAAATTTCATTCCAACTAAGTAAAGACAACTTCGATCAAAAAGGTGTTGCACCAGCATGTAATCTTCCAATGAAATCTATCAAAACCATAGCAGTAGGCCTAAAATAAGACACTAAAATCAGACAACCAAAAAAATTAGCTGCAATTATGTATCATTGTCTTATCCTCACTGCATCTTCTAAAGTAGTCATCCTCTAAAGCACATATATGGCATGTTTTTTCATGTCTGCAAATACTTTCATTGTTCTAAAGTATGACCAAAGAGCTTCCCAGTGATGTTAAAATGTTGGGAGGAGCAAAAGAAAGCAAGACATTTTTTGTATCAGAAACAACCTGAATTAATAAAATGAAATGAAAAATTGGTTAAGATGGAACAAAGCCAATTATTTGCATATTACTTTCCATTACATTATAACTTCTTTTTATGTAGTTGCTTTATGGCATTTTTCACTTTTCCAGACCAGAAGTGAAAAAGTTTAGTTAAAAAAAAAGACATATAGATATGAAACCCTCTATAACATGTACAAAGTGTCTGTTTCATTTAAAAGATTAAATTTTTTGTTGTCTTCAAAATCCCCTTTTCTTTCTGTTGTGGCTGAATCTATGTACCACAATAGGTGTATGTTTTATAGTGATATTCTTTATGCTCATTGATATGGCTGTGAAGCAGTGTAAGAAAGCAGGAGCCGCTGTTCCAGAGTTATTAGTGTTTTTCACATGTATCTCTCAAAGCATCCCTTAAAGGGAGTCAGGATCCTTAGTTGGAGGCTTATTATTCTTTTTTAAATAAGAGAAACATCGTCTACAAGGAGCCTGTTAGTGGACACTGACAATGGAGAATAAATTATGAATAAACTGCTGTACTCATCATACCTTCTTAAAGCAAGATGGGAACAATTCAAAACAATTCTAATAGCTGACTGGAACAATAATGGAAATAATGAGAAAACTTTTTTCATTTTACTGAAGAAGAAACTGGCATCTGACTACAAATGTATGAAGAAGCTCCCCCCTAACAGAATGCAAGCACCTGAAGATCAGAATGTTTGTATGTGGAGCTGCACACCAGGTATTTTCAAACTCAGCCTAATATTCAGATGTCTAGTTGAAAAGTTGATTGTCTTAACACCCCAGTTTTTGACATTGTTATTTAAATACTTTAGACACATAGATGTGTTTCCCAATTTCTACTCTAATCTGCTTTCACTAAAGAAGTAATGAGCTAGTAAATATTACTTCACATTTAATTAAGGTACCAAGACAAGAGGTGGGTGAAGGATGAGGAAAAGGGACAGAAAATGTCATTCTAGTCTACCTGGCCATATTCACTAAAATTTCTTTAGACAAAAATTGGCTCCTCTGAAGATCTCCAGAGATTCCTCCACTGATTATGTGGGAATCCTGTAAGAAATACTAGGTGACTTCTACTAGTTGGGATCCAGACTGTTTAACTTCCTGAAGATAGATGCCTCATATAGTGAGAACAGCTCTTAAACATAATAAAAACATAATGCCATGGGGCAACACCAGTGACAGTCCTGATATAGTCTTGCTTTTCTGCATAACAGTCTAGTGGGTAACACCGTTGTCTGGGAAGTGGAAAATCCATGTTCTCATTTCCCTTAATCTGAAAGGCTCTGAATTTACACCCTTCAAGCTACCTTAGCCTGATGTAGCCCTGAAATACAGCCCTGTCTGCTTACTCTTGGGGCAGGTATTGTAGTATCTATGACTGTAAGCGGTGGGCAGACATCAATAAACTGTGTTCCAGGAGACCAGGGTTGTGTCTTGGGTGACTTTGGACAAGACACTTCACCTTAGTTTGACTAATCTCATTAGTTTCAATTTTGAAAACAAGAACAACAAAAAAAATGGTAAGAACAAAAAACAAAAACTAAACCAACTAAAGCTCACTGGTTTTAGCTACATTAAATATTCTTTTCTGCTTAGCCCCATTTTTCACTTTCAACTCATTATTTAGATACCACAGATGAGGTAGAGTAGACACAAGATCTTTGTGTTCTAAAGTCACAGGAGGGTAGGGGCAAGAGGAACACTATTTTATGTGAAAAAAAAACAAGAAAAAATTTGGATATTTACTTATTTTTTAAAAAGAAAGTTTTTGTATCCCACTACAAGCAAAAAATATATACTTCTTAATCACTGAAAGCCTCTGGAAATTTTCAGTGAAGTTTTAATGATTGTAAAAATTACTATAAACACAGAAACAGTGTTTTGCCTGAACATCTAATCAGGTTTTTCTGGAGAAATTGTCATCTGATTTCTTCCTCTTAGGAGCATGTCACCTTGATGTAATCCATACCACCTCCACCCCTTGTCCCATAAATAATTATATTTCACACACTGGAGTATAAAATCAGATTACCCTGAAATTTCTAGCTGTCCATCAGTTTCTCTTTGGTTTTTTGAAGAGACATGCTCATCTTCCTAACTGTCATCTGAAGAGACCATGGTGCTTCAGTGGTTGATGAAAATGTGCATGTGCCGTAGTCATAGTATTCAAGCACATTTTCCTTCAGATAGCTCTATTATGGATTTTCCAGCAGGTGAAATACAATTTTCTATTAACAGATGATTTTGTATTTTTAAGAGAATTTTATCGGTCATTTAGTGAAGCAAATGAAGTAATCTGCATGAACACCATGCATATTGGAATTGCTCAGGACACAGC